TAAACTATGGAGTCACGAATTTGGGGATTGTAGGTCCCCTGGGAATGGATTTCTGAAAATGATTCAAGGTGGAACGCGAGTGTTGACTCGCCACCACGATTTGTAATGGGAGTCACTTTGATTGAACCTCGTGTAATCGTTACATTCTGGAAGAAAATCCAATTATTAAAACAGTTAAGGATTACGAAATGGAATATATAATCACGAAGATACCTTGTATAGCGTAATATGAGACTCCCACAACATTATCTGCTTTTCCCAAACGTACACCTCAATTTTGATCCCCTTTGTATCGTCAATTCGAAAGATACGGGCTGTTTTTTTCTCGTTCCTAAACCATTTACGCCCTTGGATGTGATCGATATAGCCGGTTAGAGTACTGTAAAGAAAAATTGACCATGATTAGCTGTGTAACCGATAGGTTTGAAGCTTAAATGAACAAAAAAAAAGAAGAAATTTCATTCATAAAAATCACCTCCATGAGTTACCATGAAAGAAAGACAGATAATAACAAATCGTTCGATAATTGATGATTGTGAGAAATTTAAATTGCATTATGAAGAATCATTGGAATAAGCTACGGATTGGGTACTAGAAGAATGAGTTAATAAAATTCTCCCTTGGAAATGAAGTAAAATAAATTGCGAGATGATAGAATGAATACACTATAAAGAAAATCAATAAAAAGTCTAGCAAATTCACTGGAAAATTCTATGGGAATTTTATAGGAATTCAATGGAATTCCTTTGAGATGTCTATTAGAATCCTATTTAAAAATTGTATTTGTGTTTGCACCGATTCTATTAGAGATTTGAAATACAAAAGTAAATAGATTTTGAATTTTTTATATTGAAATTATTGTTCACAAATTTTCTAATCGTCTTTGGCTGTATTTTGATTAGTTTAATATTATGCAGAGATTATTCGACCGTAAATTTTTAAATGAAGAGAAGTTTTTTTTCCTCATGACCACAAGGGCGAAAAAAAACCTTCCCTTCAATTTGTTTAGTTTTGCATTATGGAATCCGAGTGGAAGAAAAGCTGAGAAAAGCGGTGCTCAATAATTTGAATGGAAAAAATCTCAAGAGAGAAACTCGAACAGAAATTCAAAATTTATTGACTTTTTTCTTGCTGATATGCAATAGAATCGGCGCAACGGAAAGAATAAGATTTTTTAGTAAAATTCCAATAGAAATCATGTAGAATGCCTGTAGAATGTCAATATGAGTTTCTAGCAAATTCACTACGTTTCTTTTATTTTTTGTTCTCATACTAATGATTTTACACTCAAAATAAGGGATGCTACAAAGTGAAGAAAAAAAATGGCGGAAGGTGAGTATTCAAATTCATGGCAGAAAAGATGAAAAATTGGAAATAAATCACTTAATTTCATAGAAAAAAATTGAAAAATAAAAAGCACTTACACGTTTGTGTCACCAGCACTTAAACACTCGAATACAATATTTTTTGAATAATTAATCATCGTTCTTTCTATAACCACTAATGATCGCACTCAAAATCCAGCGAATCGACTTGTCGTGAATGGTTTGTTCTTGTTTCCACGTGACTATCTTCACGATGTTTCAATGCCTGGATATAGGTGAGACTGGTGGGGGATTATATTATAGTCGATCAAAAACAAACGATGACGACATTCTTAAATTCCGCAAAAAGACAATCGATTCTCTGGCAAATGGCAGAGAAATTCTGAACTCGTGCCCATCCGGACACCCGCGGTGTAACATTTCAGTGAACTGAAGTGCTACAGTGCCCTCGCAAGTGCCCTCGTGAATAGCTATCGGTGTTAATTAGGTGAGTACTATTATTATACCATTTTGATATTTATCCAGGATTTCGTGGTCATTAAGTGGGCACATGATATTCTCATGATTTTTGTTTACAAATGAATGCATTGGAATCGTCCAAGTTCTAGTTATGAATTTTTTGTGTTTGTAGAACAATTGAGACAATGGCGGGAAATCCACGTAACCCAGATGAAATCGGCCATATAATTGCACTTTTGAATCTGCATAATGCCGATGGAGCGGGAAATCTCGAAGCGGAATGTAACAGATGTCCGTACTTGGATGGGACATGGTTCATACCCAATATTGATAAATCATCAATCAACGGGACCATCTTTGCCACTATTTTCTGTTGAAATGTTCAATAGAAAATATTTCACAAAGAAAATCGATAGTATTTTATTTTTCTGTTGGAATTCTTCGGCTTGAATTCTGAAAGTTTCTTTGAGCGATTTTCAAATTGATAAGAAAAGAAGAAAATAAAAAAACAACTCAGAAAATTCGAGCCGAGGGGATTCAATTGACTTTTTCTATATAATGTTCTCAATTGAATATTTCAATACAAAACGACAAAAACTTATTGAAAGTTCAAAAGAAATCCAATAGAATTTTCTAGTGAATTCGCCAAGTATCTCATTTGAATTTTTTCATGCGTGAGATATTCTTCGTAGAGCACAGTAAGATCTATAGAAATACTCAAATGAAAATTGAAATTGAAAGATCTATAGAAATACTCAAATGAAAATTTTTACATCTACAGTGGATTCGGAGATATTCTTCAACGAACTCTCATGGGAGCATTGTTTTGGCGCTCTCACTCTGCTCTATAAAAAGTATCAATACAGAAATTATCATTCAGATTCCAAGTTATTTTTGAAAAATTTACATGTTTGAAGGACTAAATGTCATTTTTCCCTGCATTTGACTCCTGAATTCATGAGAGCACTAGAATTTGAGAAATATTTCGGTTAAGAAATTTGCAACAGAATTTTACGATAGAACAAAAGGAAACAAAAGGTTAAGGAACAATTGCGAATGGCCATCTGAAACTTTCTTCCTCAGGCTTGAGTTTTCGAATGAGAACAAAAATACTGTGAAAAGAAGTTGAAAAATTTCTGCTAAAAAATCCCTGTTTTTTAATTAAATGAATTTCACAACATGCTCTGCAATTTTTGTTTTTTCTTCTGTGGAGGATTTGTTGACCGATTTTTTTAACAGAATCAACGACAGAATTCTCAATAGGAACTCAATAAGAATCCGATCAAATTTCCCAGCTAATGCAGCAGCTTTTTCTATGAATTTGTCTTGTACACAGCCTAATTCGATGAATGTCTATTGCATTTTTTCAGATATACCATCCCTGTCAGTTACAAGAGTATTATGCTTACATTGAAGAAAGGAGGGGACAAGGCCAATAAATCAATCAATGCACTGATGCTGACAAAATTTAGTTGCTATGAGTGTATTAATAAAGATCTGATCAACTGATTCCATGAATTGAACTGATAGTAACTGTATAATCTAGTTCCACAAAATATTTTCATGTTTTGTATAGTTCCACATATGAACAAATTTAGTAGAAAAACAAAGGAGGACATGGAATGTTAGAAGACGCTTCTAATTTTTCTTATTCGCAAAACCTCCAGAATCTAATCAAAATTTTCGCGCTTTCTATTGAAATGTTCGATAGAAAATATTTTGCGGAAAAATTCGATAGAATTTCATTTTTTTATCGAATTACCTTGGCCCAGATTTTATAATTTTTTTTTATTCTCTTTTTTTATTGTTTTCAATTCAAGAACGGAACGAAAAAACTTTGTAGATTCGAGCAGAGGAAATTTGGTAAAATATCTACTATTAGACATTACAATAGAAAATTTATACAAAAAAACTTACAAAAAATGCCAAAAACTTATAGAAAATTCAATAGAAATTCGATGGAATTTTTTCAACTCATCACTTGGTTTTTAAATTAAATTATTTTGTGGGTGTCGAGTTTCAATATGAATTCATTTAAATCTAATAGAGGAAATGCTAGATTTTTCAATTGTGATTGTTCATATGTGTCTTGTTGTGTGTCTGCTCAATTACCCTTCCCTTAATTAACCTGTCCTTACGATTCATACAATCATGCCATTCCTAAGCTTTGTGGAAAGGATTAACGATAGTATGAAGAATAGCGAAGGAATTTCGATCCGATTATTTCGAACTCGAATGTAGTGAACGAATGGTAATAACCAGTGTGATTTGTGAATTCATCGCAGATGTAAGTGAGACGCGTGTTGTATTCCATTCAGTGCTAATTGTGAATATCCATCTGTTGATGAGGTGAGTATTATCATTCATATAATTTTAGTTTCTCTACCATATCGCTTCTTCCGGCAGAAACATATGACAATTTATATTAAAGAAACTTTGGAACCATTCGCTTGACATCTGAATGAATTTTATAATTTACTGTCGTTATTAATGAGATACAAAACTATATCACAACGGTAAGTGATGACATCATCCCGTTTAAGGTGGAGACAGTAGTATTAGGAAAAAAATCCTTTCTTTAGCCGAAAAAAAATATCTAATGTCAATGATTTACCTATTTTTACGGTGAAAGTTCCACGTTCATTCAAATCAAATACAAATCGAATCCTTGAGAGTTTTTTGGGGTCTCAAAAGGGCTATTTTGATCATGTCTACAAATTCGTTCGAGACTAATCTTCCTCGGTTTCTATTTTTTTCATTTTCATGAATTTTCAAAGATTTTCATCACTGTGGTAACAGGAAAATTTTATATCAAATTCAATTAATTATTGAACAAGTCATAACTTATTTTATTGTTATCAGGATAAAATAATATTTTTATTTTAGCGGATTCCTACCTTTGAAGCGCTAGGCGCATCTGAAAATACATATAAAGGAAAATAGACCAGACGGGAAAATTAGAAATAGTAGACTTTTCAACTTTTTCTTTTTACCAGAATATATTTTTAACTCCAATTTTGTTTGAAATTCTTGTTACAATAAATTTACTAAAATAAAAGATAAGTTTTGTTTGCTACGTCGAGATTCGTACGACAGACACTCTTATGGGTTTAGAATTTGATTTTAACAACATCAGCTAAATTATTTATAGCCGTTTATCGTTTTGTTATTCGTTTTTGCCAATTAATTTATAACAAAGATGATATTGATTTTACATCGAATTTTGGGGAAAATCTATGTGAATTCTAACGCTAAATTATTGTTATATTTTTGCTCATTTACTCACTTTTTGCTGATGAGCGGAATTTATTAGGAACTGCGCTGCCTTTCCTGGCGCGTAAAAAAAAATTTGAATCTAATTTTTGTCCCTTTTTGTCACAATAATTGAAATTTTGTCTTAATTGAAATTTAAAATTTTCTGGGCGAATGGTGAACTATTGATATTATGTTTTTCACTGTTTGATTTAACTTTCAGAATTTTCACTTAATATTATTTTTCTTTAAATTTATGAATTTTATGATTTGAGTCTTTTCTCGTCACTTGTATGTCCATGCACTTTTTCTTTATATTTTGCGAAAAACTTAGCAAACAATTCGGAGTTTGCCGACCGCTTCGCGCCGAAAATCACACTACGAATGTGTGCGTAATTGTGTGAAATTTCGGGATTACTCGGATAATTGATCACTTGTACGTCAGGCAGGTTTTCTGATCCTGAAGTTTCGAACGCGTGATTATCCGAGGAGTTCGCCTAATTGGTGTGCCCCTTTTGGCATCTAAGATGCGACTGACTTTGAAAATGGTCGATTTCGTCTCTATGGGGTAAATTGATTATTTTACGATTTTCGGTTGAAGCGGTCACATGGGTTTGTTCACTTTTCGCTTCCATATAAGGAGCGTTATTAAATTTTGCTCGATTTTCGAGTCAGCGTTCCTACGAGCGATGAATTTTGCCGAGCAGAAAGTCGACACCGGATGCATGCAAATAGCTTTTTTCATTTGCCTGCATTGATTTATATAAAATTTATATTTTTGACTAATTTGGAATTCTTGTTAATTACGTAAAATTTTCTAACATGACATCACTGATAGGAGCTCAGGTATGGGGAAAGCATTTGATATTTCGATTTTATTCCTTTACAAATTACCAGTTGAGGGAAAATAATTTTTCAACTGCAGGAAATTTGCACTTCTCCCTCAGTTTTCGAATGAAAAGCTTTTCAACTTTTTTCAAATAGGAGTAAGAACACAGAATACGAAAAACTGAGAAATGAATTGAAACGTGTTTCCAGTTCTTTGAATCTGATTGATTTTTACGGAAAATTCCAAAAATATTAAGTTTTCTGGGATATATTCTTTGGAAAACTGAAAAAGATACATTTCATGTATTTTAAAAATCATTTGTCCTCAACTATTAACTCGTGAAAAAATAAATTCGAAGAATCGGTCAGTTCTCTTACATCTTGAGTCCTATTATTATTATTATTATTATTATTTATTGAGAAAGTCAGTAAGCTGATACATCTCTACCAAGTAAAGTACAAGTTCTGTCGCTGTGCGTGCGTAAATCAATCCTCTTATTATATATTTGATTTATGAGTTATAACGAGTTAACATATTTTTTCTAGCAGTCCTCAAAGGGGGGATATTAGTATTAAAACTCTGAGAAAATTCGTAATAAAAGGAGAAAAAGAACCCCAAGGAGGAATGTCATAAATGGACGTTGGAAAACAAACAAACTCTATAATTTTCAAATTCGTTAAATGAGTCACACAACTCACTTACCTCAATTGATGCAACTTTTCTTTTATCAAACTGGGAATCATGAAATACCATTGATCCAAGCGATTCTCATCAATTATTCACAAATGATTTTTTTCTAATTTGCATTCTATCAATGCGATACCATTCGTAATAATTCATAAACCGTTGTATTCATCATTTCGAGCTGTTCAATTCGATTCTTTCTTCT